ACGCCTCTCAGAGTTGGTAAGACGCCTCTCAGAGTTGGTAAGACAACTCCCACCTGTTCATGCTCTCTGTATGTGTGTATATATATCTCCTCAATATATGTTCCATTCTATAAGCATCCGAAGAAGTGGGCTGTAGTCCACGAAAGCTTATGCGCTAATAAATTTGTTAGTCTCTAAGGTGCCACAAGTACTCCTGTTCTTTTTGCGGATACAGACTAACACGGCTGCTACTCTGAAACCTGTCATAGAATGGAACATATATTGAGGAGATATATATACACATACAGAGAGCATGAAAAGGTGGGAGTTATCTTACCAACTCTAAGGGGCCAATTAAGTAAGAGAAAAAACTTTTGAAGTGATAATCAAGATAGCCCAGTACAGACAGGTTGATAAGAAGTGTGAGAATACTTACAAGGGGAGATAGATTCAATGTTTGTAATGGCTCAGCCATTCCCTGTCTCTATTCAAGCCTATTCTATTTACGTTTGTCACAGAGGTGCTGCTGTGAGGATCAATCAGTCCAGGGCTCTGCATAACAGGGAAAATGTTACGGCCAATGTTATTCATTATTTTAGTTGATCATTCACTCAAAGCTGTTTTTACCCACTTATTTGGAAGACGGTGTGCCCAGGTATGATACATTCTGATGTGTTCCCCTGTGCTAAACAATTAAATACCCCTGGGGGGACCGGGGAGTGGAAAATAATAAAATATTTTCCTGAGGAAATAACCTTAGTTTGTAACAGATTAAAATGTAGCACAAGACAGAGCAACTATAACTAAAGAGGGAAATGTTAATATTTCCTTTAATGCCTTTGTTACCCCCATTGTAAATCCAGACTAACACCCTGAGCAGTTACTCCAGATTTATGCCAGTGTAACTGACGTCAGCACCCAGATCCTAATTCTTTAAGCTATTCTTTAGATGAGCAGGTGAAGCGGTGGCCTCTTTCGCCACCTAGGGGATAGAACTATAAATGCAGCAATTGTACAGTATGTAGATACCTCAGCAGCGGCATATTTTATCCATGATGAGTGACTCTTGAAGGGCTGACTCCAGTCTCCTTTCCTCCTCCCTCGCTTCCCTGCTTTCTCGCCTCCTGGATTCATTTGAGAGCAAAGTTGTGAAGCAGCCAGGCAGTCTGGCAGTGGGGGATTCTCACCTGAGCTCTTCTGAGCATGCAACTCCTTGGTCTTGTGTTTTAAGCAGAAAACAGCAACTTCAAGAAGGAAAGCTGGGAGCTGCCAACGGAGGGAGCGGAGGAAGGTAAGAAAGCACCTTTTAATTTTGATCTGTTATGTTAGCAGTATTTTGATTGGTCTACGTCCCCAGCTCTGCTTGTGGCTTTTTCAGATGAAGATGGAAAAACTCACTGCAAGTGGGAGAGGGAAATCCAATGATTCCTTGTCTGACCCTCCTGGCTGGTTGTTGCTATGAAGTGAATGAGGGGGAAATGATTGAGAGGTTCTTGACATGTAGATTTCAGTAGGAAAAAAGCAATGCTCTGGGAAGGCCCTGCAGTGACTCTGAACGGGATGGGGAGGGAGAGACATTGCTACTGAGATGGGACAGTGACGTTGGTTTGCTGTAATGCTCCCTCCCTTGCTTTGTTTCTGTTTGAGGAGGACACGCCAAGTGCCTTCGGAGGGGATGAGGTGGATTTGGATGCTAGGACTATCTCTGCCTCAGGAGGACTGAGATTGGCTCCCCTTGGCTCATCTGGAAGGAAGAGAGGACAAGCTCCCAGGCCAGTGGTCACCACTACTGAAACCAACAGAGAGGGAAAGGAATCAAAACTTGGGAAGAGAAGAGAAAAGAAACAGGGGGAAAGGGAGTTCCAGAGGCAGGAGAGAAGAGCTGAAAACCATTAGGTCTCCTGCAAGGGGAGGCTGTAAAGGGGAGACACTGCACAGGAGACCCACACCGAAACCCTTGTTGGTGCAAAGTGCTGCATGGGAAGGGGCTGGCCATGGAGAAGTTGTCCCTGGAAGGGAACGACCTGTGGACTATCAACGGCTCACTGATCAACTCCAGCCTGAGCCTTGAGAACCGGACTTATGGGGTCAACAGCACCACTGATCCCCTGAAGAGGAATGAGGACATGGCCAAGGTGGAGGTGACGGTGCTCTGCCTCATCCTCTTCCTCGCTCTGACGGGCAACCTGTGCGTGCTGCTGGCCATCCACACCACCCGGCACAAGCACTCCCGCATGTACTATTTCATGAAGCACCTGAGCATCGCTGACCTAGTGGTGGCCATTTTCCAGGTTCTGCCCCAACTCATCTGGGACATCACCTTCAGGTTCTATGGGCCAGATTTCCTCTGCCGGCTGGTCAAGTACCTGCAGGTGGTGGGGATGTTTGCTTCCACCTATATGCTCCTGCTGATGTCCTTCGACCGGTGCCTGGCCATCTGTCAGCCCCTGAGGTCATTGCACAGGAGGTCTGACCGGGTATCTGTCCTCCTCACCTGGCTGCTATGCCTGCTGGTCAGCATCCCCCAGATCAACATATTTTCCCTTCGGGACGTGGGCAATGGGGTGTATGACTGCTGGGCAGATTTCATCCAGCCCTGGGGAGCCAAAGCATATATCACCTGGATAACCCTGACTGTTTACATTATCCCTGTGCTGATGCTGAGCGTCTGCTATGGCTTGATCAGCTTCAAAATCTGGCAGAACGTGAAGCTAAAAACAGCCCATGAGAACAACATGAACCTGTCCTCCAGCGGTGCGGGCCTCTCCAGGGTCAGCAGCATCAAGCTAATTTCTAAAGCCAAGATCCGGACAGTCAAAATGACCTTCGTTATAGTCTTAGCTTTCGTAGTGTGCTGGACTCCTTTTTTCTTTGTGCAGATGTGGTCTGTGTGGGACAAGAATGCTCCCAAAGAAGGTAAAGTTCTCCCTCATTTCATATATAGAAAATATATATTTGCATGTAATCGTTAGTGTTGGTGACTAATAATTAACACATCAGTTGGCTGCAAAACAACCATTCCAGATGTGATGGGGGTGGTAGAGAGATTTCAGTCTGAATCAAGGCTCATTCGGGTGCTGAAAGGAGAGAGACTGATGACTTGCATCTGATCCAAGGCATGCAGTTTTGACACTTCATTGGAGTCACTCCTGGTTTTCTGGGGGATAAGGAACCAGAATCAGCCCCTCGGGGTCTTGAACTGAAACCTGGAAAACAGTTTCCCTCCCTGTTTGCCAAGGCAATTCTCATTTGCACACAATGTGCACTTCCCTCTTTTGTCTGTCAGCACCGCATAGCAATAGCAGCTTGAGCATGTCTGCTGAAATGGCACCCTGCAGGGTTGGGTGTGTCAGGGAGCCAGGCTGGGGTCCTGGGGAGCCCTCCTGGCTAGGCCCGTGGAACCTTTCTGGAGACTTGAAAGTAGGTCTGCCACACCTTAAGCCAGGGCCTTAACCACCACTCCCCCTTCCTAAACAGAAAAGCTCTGGTTTCAGTGCAAAGCCGGATGTTCCAACACAAATCTGTTTTTGCAAACAAAAAGTTTGAGAGGTTTGGTTGTCATTCCAATGTGGAACAAACATACAAACCTCGGAATTTGCTGCAAAACAGAATATTCGTCCCCAGCTCACCTGTACTGGGCACCTTCTTCATAGTGTAAATTCAAGGTCATTTACAGGAGTCAAGCTTCATTAATAATAATGCCCAGAGATGGCTTCCCCAGTAATTTTCTGCAGTGCTTTGCAGGCATATACTTCCGACTGCTGGGTTTTTAAAAATATCAGGTACTGGCCATGACTAATGTTAAATGTATCAACAGCACAGAGCATCCGCTCTCAGTGGCAGGGGAATTGAGGGTGAGAAACCCTGAAACCAGCTGGTTTGATATCTCATTCTCACATTCCCCAGCATCTTCTCTTCCCTTTCAATGCCCCTTTCTTCTCTCTCCTCTCCTCTCCTCTTTACTCTGTTCTTTTTTGCTTTCCTTCCTCCCTTTCTTCCCTCCGCTCCCTTTCTCTCTTCTCTCCATTCTCTACACTCACTGCAATGCTCTTTGATGCTGGCTGTAGGTAGCACGTTTCCCTTAATGTTCCAGTGATTTATTAGCTAGTTGGAAAGAAAACATTTTTCAAAGGGCGAAGTGCCATTTTTCATACAGGAACGCTGCAGTAGCTAAGGCTGATAACAGGCAGTAAAATCCATTTCAACTCCCTATTTTCCCAGTACTTTCGAAAGCACTTCCCCTTTGGGCTTTCTATTTCCCCTTTCTATTCTCACTCTGTGCTCTGAATTGGAGTCGGAAAGTTTGAGGAAAATCCTTTCAGTCCTTTTTTGAGGTAGGGGAGAGTGAAAAAAATATATCTTGGGAACGGCAGTTTTTAAACAGATCAACAGAAACTTGGCCTGGCCAGAGCCCTCGCTGAGGGCTAGCACCTTTGCGTGGTTTGGGGGTGTAAAATAAATATGAGGGGAAAATAACTGCTAAGTGGACACACTAATGCTACTGGAAACCGTCTGCTCCTCAGCGGTTGACTTCACAGCTGCCCATAGGGCAATGCAGCTCCTGCCTTCCCACAAGATGCTCCTCTCCCTCCTTCGGGCAAGCTCCTTTCAATGATAAATTAGTGTGTGTAAAAACTGAACCCCCCCCCATGGGAGATTTTTACATGTCCCCAGTAAATCTGAAACAGAGGCTGTGCCTCAATGTATGTATCTGCCGTTCTTTAGTCTTCTCTCTGCTCTCCTTGTTGCTGGTGGAGGGAGTATCCCATGGGAACTTTGTCCTGGCCAGCTGCTCACCACATTTGTCTTGGTTGTTCACACTACTAATTGCATCTGCTTTGTAGATGTCTAATGGGATAAGAAGGGTCCTTATTTCCTTTCATTTTATTTTAAACATCTGCTAAGAAGGGCTTGCTAATGATGCCCTCGCAAACCTAACTCTCTGTTGCGCTGTTGAACTCCCTTTCAGAACAGGATAGAATTGTAGATTCAGAATCGATGATTGCTTACACATTGCTTTCCGGGCCTGCATGGTTGTGCCACTCGTTCTCATTTACTCTGTCAAATGATCGGTACTTTGGTGCTTTACCTAAGAAGAAGCAGACTTCGAAGGCAGAGCATGTTAATAACTCAGCCTGGTTATTCACACATCGGGCTTGGGAGCCAGGTGTTTTGTCTACAGCAAAGGATGTTATTTTAGCAAGAGCATCCAGTATATAATAGGATCTATTTGCACAGAAGGAAAACCTCTTGTGAGTTATATTAGGAACAGTGAATGGTAGTAACACTTAGCAGGGTCAATAGTGTGAATTGCACCTTTGACTTCCTTCTCCAAAGCTCACGTTTCCACCACTTGAGCTAAAGGACTAACTCCTTTAGCTAGCAGCAGTAGTAGGCTCTTACCCTTGATGAGGGGCAGTAACTCAAGGGGGACACAGCACCCAGCACGCATAACTGATTTGTTACCTAGCAGTCTGGGATACTATAACCCTTTGAACCCAGTGGATATAAAGTTTCCACCACTAAGCAAGCACTCTGCCTCCCTTTTCACTCTGCTTTCTCCCTTAAACAAAATAAGACCCCTCTGAACTCTCTGCCAAGTCCCAGCAGTTGAAACAGCACTGCTGGGTGGGTAGAGTGCCTCATGCTTCCAACCTACTTTGCTGCAGTGCTGGTGCTGTCTTTCTGTAGAAAACCTTTTGGGGTACTTCTCAGCCACTAGTCTTGGCTCCTGATTCATGCCCCTTTCCCCTGCTACTGCTGCTTCTAAATCAGATAGAGCAGTTTGGAAAGTCAGCAAAGGGGAATGGGGGGCATAGCAGGAGTGGAAAGTAGAGGTAAGGCTTTCACCAGGTGATGGAGGTGGGGTGAGACAGACTCAGCAAACCCAACACATGGTCACCTCCAACTGATTCAAAAAATCTACCTGCTCCCTCGCATAGTGCCCACTAGTGGTTTCCCCCAGGTCCTTGGAAATTACCCAGATTCTAGCTCAGCGATCGGCAACCTTTGGCACGCGGCCCATCAGGGAAATCCGCTGGCAGGCCGGGACGGTTTGTTTACCTTCAGTGTCCCCAGGTTCGGCTGATCACAGCTCCCACTGGCTGTGGTTTGCCGTTCCAGGCCAATGGGGGCTGCGGGAAGTGGCAGCCAACACGTCTCTCGGCCCAGGCTGCTTCTCGCAGCCCCCATTGGCCTGGAACAGCGAACCGTGGCCAGTGGGAGCTGTGATCGGCCGAACCTGCGGATGCTGCAAGTAAACAAACCAAAGGCTGCCGATCCCTGTTCTAGCTGATATCTCTTTGAGAATGAATTAGGCTCCAAAGGGTTCGGTGTCTGTTTTGCCATATGTTTTGTCTCTGCAGTTTTGTGTGGGTGTGCACTGTTTTCTGGATTTCTGTTTCTTTGCGCAAAGGAGTGTATCTCATTGGAAGGAAGGATTCAAGAGACGTGTGCAAAGAAGTGTAACAATCAATCGAAATGTAACTGAACTGTGTGCCATTGCACAATGCCCCTGGTTTTCTTGGGCATAATAGTAAAAGAAAGGGAATGCGTCACAAATAGCTGGCAAGGTTTACATGATGTATGCAAATTGCAGAAGTCAATAAACAGCAAACAAAGCCCTCTGCTTGAACACACAATTATTAGGGGGCCAGATGTTGGGGGGAAGGAAACATGTTTAAAAAGGCTGCATGATGCACTGTTTCTTAATGAACAAAATGTTTGTCAGCCACCATGTGGAAAGCCTTCAACATGGGATCTGGAAAGGGCCACAAACAAATGAATGTCAAATGTTTTCCAAATTAGTCCTAAATTGTCCCCCTGCAAATTAACTCCAGGGCTCCAAAACCTGCAGTGTTTGAAAAGTCTGTCTGAGAAATTATCAAACAGATAATGAGTTATAGGTCTTGGAAGAGGAAAAAATCCTCAACTGCTTCTCTGAGTGTGTTTGCACCGTATCTAAACAGTGAGGGAATATGCAATGTTACTCTAAATTGTTGTAAGCTAGTCACTGTCACCTTCTAGTATTTCCCCTTGATGCCTCTCTATGAAAGGGGAAGCGCACTATTAATTTTGTCATGGAAGCAAAACATTTCTGTCATTTTGCATGATGCTGAAACCTATTGCAATGATCAGGCTGCCGCGTATGGAGTTATATTGCCACCTGTAGGACGTGACCGGACTACTTTGTTTAGAAACTTGTCCAGTGGTTGTTAATTGCATGTTCTTGATAAATAAGATCCAGCTATCACGCACAGGGTCAAAATCTCTGCCTTTGTACTCCAGAGGGAAGTTGGAGAACCTTTTCCTCTGAGGTCAGATTTTCCTTTTATCATGGAGCAGTTCTCCTATGAAAACCTAGGCTAAATACTTTATCAATTATTATTATTATTAATTATGTGTGTTGCATTAGCGCCTTGGAGCCCCAGTCATGGACCAGGACCCCATTGTGCAAGGCACTATATAAACACAGAAAAAAGAGAGTCCCTGCCCCAAGGAGTTTACAATCTAAGGCAAGAGTTTAGAATTTTCTTTTACTTTTCGGGGGGGGGGGTGTCTCTGTCGCTAACTCAGCTGAGTTCCGTTTACACTGAATTAAACAAACAACACTCTTCCCTCCAGTACCGTGCTGATAATTCAACAGAGTAAATAGGAATGAATGACCCCAATATCAAAGCAATCTGTTTGGTTCCTCTGCAACGGCTGTGTGTGCTATGCTTCACTGTGTGTGCTTTGCATTGTGTCTTATTGCATTTGTCATGGGGCTTAAAAGAGGCCTGAGCCTGCGTCACTTGAACAGACCCAACTCCCTATGATGTGGAAGTTTGGAGTGTGTAAGGAATAAAAGACTGGACCCTAAAGAAAGAATTTAAAAGGTCGTTTGCTAGTTTAACACATTACTAATTTGAGGCCTG